AGCAGGGGGGGTGGGGGTGTCTCAGTGGGGAGCCTAGGGGTTCTCAGCGGGGGTGGGGGTGTCTCAGTGGGGAGGTGCGGGGAGGTCTCAGCAGGGCAGTGTCTCAGCGGGAGCCTCCGGCCTGCCTCGCTGACCCTGTGTGTGCCGGCAGAGGATGACCGCGGAGGCGCAGAGGCGAGTGGTGCTGGAGTACCTGCGGGCTGTCATGCAGAAGCGCATCTCCTTCCGCAGTGCAGAGGAGCGCAAGGAAGGTGCCGAGAGGATGGTCCGGGAGGCCGCGCAGCTCCGCCTCCTGTTCCGGAAGCTGGCCTCCGTGAGTGCCTGCTTGTTTCTGTCCCCCCCACCCCCTGGGCTGTTTCGGCCCCCGCTGATCGGGGCCAGTCATGTCAGGGACCAAGTGACCAGTCAATCCTCCTTGTGTGCCCAGGAAGGTCTGTTGGACCTTGTGGCTGAGGGTAGCTTCTGGGGCATTACTCCTAGCCCCGTGGGAGCGGTGCTAGCCAGACTGGTCTCGCCCCTGTGGGCTGCCCGCCCCCTGCCCTGCAGCATCCCTGCTGAGGGCGCCCAGGACAGCTCCACCGTGGGCCGATCCTGAGCCGTCGGTGTCTGCCTGGGCCACAGAGTTCCACAGACACTCGGCATGTGTCCCCTCGTGGTGCTTGGCAGCTGCATGCACGCTGTCTTCCAGGGATTTGGGGAGGATGCAGATGGGCACTGTGACACCATTGTGGCCATCGCAGAAGTTATTAAGCTGACGGATCCGTCTCTGCTCTACCTGGAAGTCTCCACTCTGGTCAGCAAATATCCAGACATCAGGTAAGGGCCCATGTGCCATGTGTTTTAGCTAGAAATCATGGAACAGAGCAGTAAGCTCATTCGTAGGGTCGCTGACAAGATGGAGGGGCCTGACGAGCAGGTGTGAGCACTGTTGGGTGTCCTGGCTCCTGGGAGGACAAGCTGTGTGGATTATGGCCGGGAGCAGAGTGGGCGTATCAGCGTGCCTCTGTGTCCCCTAGCCCTGCTTTTGGACCTGGAGCCCGTGGGACCCCAGCCTCGGGTCATGCACCTCCCAGGTGTCAGCACGGCTGGGGAGCAGGTGGCCTGAGTGCAGATGGGACGTCACCACGCTCTGTGCACTGGGGGCACGGCAGCAGAGCAGAGTGGTCTCAGGAAGCTCGTCTTGTGCTCGTGGATTCAGAGAAGGGACATGTTCCTGTCACATGCGACCAACATGCCCCCCCCCCCCCCCCCCCCCCCCCCACCCCCCCCCCCCCCCCCGCCTCAGCCAGCATCCTCTCTCTCTGCCAACGCTGTGGGTTTGCTTGAAGCCGGGGGAACTGGTGGTCCGGGACTCTCCAGGGCCCTCTCACTCTAGTTCGGCAGTCTGTTAAAGATTTAGGAGAACAGAGTATAAAAAACTTCATGATTATAGGTTGAAGAAAAGGCCACCATGAGCGGAGAACTCCGGTTTCTCTCCTGTCATGACATGGGGCACGCCTTCTCGTGCACAGCTGTTGACCCGAGCCGGGCGGGGGGAGCCTGGGGGAGTTTGAGTCAGGCGTGGGGGGTGAGCAGCTGTTAAGTGCCCCCGCTGACGCACCTGTGGGGTTGCCCGCACCTGCAGGGACGAGCACATCGGTGCGCTCCTGGCCATGCGAGGGGATACCAGCCGGGACATGAAGCAGACCATCATTGAGACGCTGGAGCAGGGCCCGACGCAGGCAAACCCAAACTATGTGCCCATCTTCAAGGAGATTGTGGTTCCCAGTCTGAACGTGGCAAAGCTCCTCAAGTAGCCTGTTGGGCCGCAGCCTTGTTGCGATGCTGTGCCCATCACCCCCCCTTGGAAATGTGTGGCAGCCAGAGCAACACGAGATGCCCAGGACTCGCATGCCCTCCTCTCCCGGTGTTGTGCTCAGGGCTTCTTGAAGAACAAGCACTCTGGGGGCCGTGGTTCTGCTGGCTTTCTCATCTTTTTGTAATGTCCTTTGTGTGGCAGGCTCTGGTGTGAGGGGCCTCATGGTGCCTGTCCCCCTTAACCCCTGGGTCTTCTCTCATTTCTGCACAGTGTAAACACTTCCAGAACTCTGCTGTTCAATAAAAGAGTCTAACCTCCTGCAGGGACATGAAGACTTCCCGGCTGTGAAGGTTTTCTTACTAGGGATGATGTAGTGTGCGTCCAATGCCTGGAGGCTGCTCTCAGGTTGTCTGATGTGTAGCTCAGAGATGCACCTCCGCCTGGACTGGGGGCCTGGGTCCTGCAGCTCTGCGTGGAGCCCCTCGTGCTGTGTGTCTCCTGACTCGTGCCGCAAGCTCTTAGGTGCTGGGCCCCAGCCCCGTCCTCTCCGCAACCCCACTGAGGTCAGGCAGGTGTCCCTCTGGTGTGCCACTCCACACCCTCCTCCAGGAGCGGACCTGCGTCAGGTGTGACAAAGCAGATTCGAAGGTGAATGCGAACATTAATCTGGTGCACGATACGGGATCTGTGCTCCTTCTTGACACCAGATCCCTTAGCCCCTCTGTCGTGTAGCCGTCTCCATGGCAGCTGCTTCAATGGTGACCTCGTTTTGCATGAGTCTTGAGTCTCACAATACATTAACTAAGAGGCTGTACCTGAATAAATGGGGGGGCCTGTGTGTGGGTCCTGACCCTTCCCCGCTGCTGTCAGTGAGTGGGAGTTCTCGGAAGCACCTGCGCTCTGGTTCACCGTGCGGTGCTGCCCAAAGTCAGGAATGGAGAGGGGCCCCATTCCCCCCGGCCTTGCTTCAGGGACCCCAGGGACCAGCTGGCTCAGGTGGGGGGGCACGCAGCCCCTTCCCCGCTGTGCCGCCAGCCCCCGTGGTGGCTGTGCTGTGCACTGCTTCTCCCCCCGAGGGCCCCGCGTGAGTGCGTTGTGGGCTGCCCTGAACCCCCAAGCTCAAGTCTCTGCTCATGTCCAGCCATATCCAGCCATGTAAAAAATTCACATGAAGGGCTTTTTCTTCAAAGAATCAAAACCTAAATGGAATTAAGTGACTAAAAACTAGATGCAGTTCTTAGAGAAAGTTCCTGGTTCAGAAGAGGAGTGACTTTCGATAAATACGGAGCAAACGTCCTGTCTTTTCATACATGTATTAAGTATGTGTCTTAATGTTGAGCATGTAGTAATTCCAAGTGTTTTTTGAAATAATAAGAGTTTTATTGTCCTTTATAATCATAAAAATGCATTTATTTTCCCAGCGACTGAGAGAATTTTCACTCCACGTTACTTCAGGAACAAATATCCAGGGTGAATATTCAAATGATGACCACAGACCCAAGTGGCGCATGTTGTCCTTGTCAGTTCTTGCTGTGATTATGTGGTGGTCGACCCAGTGCCCTTGGCCATTGGTCACACTTGCTTCGGGGATGCCTGTGGTAATGGTGAATGCCAGAGGTCAGCACGTTCCAAATAACAGGGACACGTGATTTTGAGGGCAGCACAGTGGCCAGGATGTGGTGGGGGGTGGGGCAGAGCAGAGGCCCACATCCTGGTGGGTCGGTGACACCCAGGGGAGGCTCGTCTCTAGGCCGCTTGGTGCCAGGTGTCCGTTGGAGAAAATGGGTTTAACAGGACAGGCAGCCTGCAGCTGGTACCGGAAACAGGTTCATGTCAGGCCACTGCAGACTCACTGAGTCTTTGGGTTGTTCTTTGTAAGAACACTTGCTGTTCAGTGGAAAGAACATCTTTCAAGGTAGGAGATTTCTTTGACTCTCAAGTTTTATTCATAGGGTTTTCAGAGCATGGCGGGGAAGGGGCTCCTGACCACGTTTGTTTAACTGGTGGGCGCATGAGCTGATGCTTACCTGGGGTGCTCTGCCAATGTACAGTCCAAACTGCTGTGACCCCAAAACACGGAGCTGGGAAGCATGGACACTTCTTTGTGTCCAGAGGAAGTCTTCCAGGGAAGGTGGGCCACATGGGGGCTTCTGGCTGCTCGGCCCTCCCGCCTGTCCGTGGCACACCGCAGCTAGGGATGTGACCGGGACACCAGTGCCACCTGGGAGGAGACGTGGAACGCAGCGGGGAGAAGCCCGGAGATGGGCTTCCTGGACAGCTGGCCTGGGAGCGAGCAGGTGGGGCCATGACAGGCGTGGGGGGTTGAGGTGATGCTCCTCCAAGCCCAGGGGCACCAGACACTGATGAGGTCGGAGGACTCTCCTGCAAGGTCAGGAGTGAGCCCCTGCCCACACCTGGATTACTTGGCAATAAATGTGTTGTTTTAAGCCAACCGGTCTGTGGTACTTACAGCAGTCCTAGATCCACACTCCTATCAACTTTGAAATGGCTGTAAATTTGCTGGTTAGACTTCTCTTATAAAAAGTATTTATAGACTCGGCATTGATGTGCAGTTTCTTTCTATAATAAACCTCAAAAATTTTAGCTATTGAAAGATGTGTCTGTGGGGCACCTGGGTGGCTCCGTGGGTTAAGTGTCTGACTCTTGATTTCAGCTCAGGTCATGATCTCAGGGTGGTGAGATCGAGTCCAGGCTCTGTGTTCAGCAGGGAGTCTTCTCTCTCTCTCCACCCCTTCTCTCCCCTACCCCCTGCCCCTGCTTGTGCCCTCGTTTTCTAAAAAAAAAGATGTGTCTGTGACACAGACCTCAAGGAACCTGGGGGTGGGATCCACCTGGGGGGAGATTCACCTGGGGGTGGGATTCACCACAGGGGTGGGGCAGGATCCACCTGGGGGGGTGAGATTCACCTGGGGGTGGGATCCACCTCAGGGGGACAAGATTTCACCCAGACATTTAGAGGCAGGTGCACTTCTGCCTCCCCCATCAGCCTCATCTTGGCCTTCAGAGACCACCCTTACCCACCTCTTCTCAGCCCTGGGCCCACCCCCTTTGGTGTCTCAGGCACTTCCTCCTCCCACTCTGGCTGGGTGGGCACTGCTCTGCCCTTTCCAGGCGCCTGCCCCGTGTGCAGTGACGAGTCTGAGTAAGTGAGCAAGTGGTGGTGCCCACCTGTCTGTGCCTGGGAAGAACCAGGTCTTGGAGCCCAGGGTGTGCCAGCAGTTGCGTCCCGACGACCTCCTTGCACCAGCCAGAAGGGGCTGCCTCTGACGCATGCATACACGCGCATGCACATGCACATGTCGATGTTAATTTTAGTACCAGAGCAATGTTTGCCTGCAGCGAACTGCCCCTTAAATTCCCCTTGATATGATTTCTCGCTTACAAAGTTTCCACCCAAAGTGCCTTGAAACATTTTTAATAGACTTGATCATGCAGGTGTGACAGGGTCTGTGACAGGGCCCCTGCCCAGCACATCCAGGGGGCCCTGTAAGGCACATTGTTCTGTGATCAGGGTTACACAAAATTTGACTAAAATTACATTCATAAAATTAACATACACAATTTTCACCACTCCTAACAACGTACATTTCGAATTTCAATGAAATTCTTTAAATCTCCTTTCACAATAGAAGATCACTAGTACACAGTATATAAGCACTGTAACAAAATTATTTTCAAGAAAATAGGTGAGAAATAGCAACTCCTACATTTGTGTTCTTTATAGTCTACCATAAAGTAGGCCAAAATTCAGTATTAAATAAATAGGAATTCTTTTATAATAAAAATTTTACAACAGTTTTCCTAAGGAAATACATTCATAAGACTTTGTTTACATTCTGTTTTACAATGACAGGAACAGCTAGGATTCTCATTTATGAAATGTATCCACAGCACTAGGGAGCATAAGACTGTGCACAGAGGAAACACCAAACTTCTCTTGTGAGCATTGAAATGTGGGATTCTGCAAAGGAGGTTTCCCACCTGGAACTTCAGTTCCTTTAGGGCTGTGCTTGGCCCTGGGCCATTCAGAGAACTGCCTGTCTACTGCAGAAAACACCAGCCAAGAGCTGAGCCATGAGACATTTGTCAAACAGAGGCATCACCCGCCGGTTTACTATTTCTGGTGTTGATGGAGGTACCTCCGAGCCGCGTTCCCCAACTCAGCCTCTAGCTCCGCAGCTGGGAATTGGATCCGGGTCCAGAGGTCCAGGTGAGTCGTTAAGGCAGCTGGAGATGCCGGACCAGCTGGGCTGTGGACCCTGGGGAGCCCAGCGCGGCAGGGCTTGGCTGGATCTGGACGAACCACTCTGCAGGGAGTGGGCAGAGCGTGTGCCTTCCTGGAGGTGTGCGTGGTTGCTGCAGCTCAGTCGGGCTCACTAACCGGCAGGTTTTGTTGCCCCGATAATGGCTGGATTTTGTGCTCACAGAGTTGGTCAAAATGGTTGCACAGTGTGGGGAATAACTACAGAAAGAAAACTAAACACCCACCCCCGTATGTGTGATTTAGGTAATGAGCAGATCTGCTGCCTCAGGGTCAAGAGCTTTGTGTTGCTGAGCAGATGCCACAGTGACTAGTCCCCGTTTTTCTCAACAGCAAAGGGACAGTAGGTTGTACCGACTTTCCACCGGGTCTCAGTGAACACTACGAAGTGCTATCAGGCCTCGCCAGTGACAGCTGTGAGAATTTCCACCATCAGAAGTCAGTCACAGCACAGCACAAATACTTTCCTGAGCAGAGCTGAGCTGGGCCTCTTCAGAAAAGCTTCTAGTAGCGTCCGACCTAAGGCCCACATTCCTCTGATCTTTACTACCTCTTTCTGAGGAACAGGCGAGGGCAGATGAGGGCCTCTTCCCTGGATCACTGTGGCAGCCTCCTCACCCCAGCCTCCCGTCCACTGCCCCCATAGGATAGCCAGACAGTGGTCTCCCTCCAGAGGATGGGGGGCAGAGGGTGCAGCTCTGTCCAAAGCCATGTCCCTGAGACCCTGGAGGGGGTGAGAAGCAGTCTGGGCTACAACATTCTCAGGGCAGGCCCAGAGGGTCCTGTGAGGGTCTGAGCCCTGCTCCAAGTCCCTTGGCTCTCCAGGAAAGAGCAGCTCCCCACCCCACCTGGCCCGGGCCCCGTTGAGCTACTTGCTAAGTGCAGGCCCACTCTACTCAGCGGGAGCTTTGTAGACCTGCCCACACGGCCAGTGCAACCTCTCCCAGTGTCAGGTGGGACGGCTAAGGCCAGAGACCAGGTGTTGGGCATGGGGCAGCACCCGCAAACCAGGGGCCGCCGCATTGACGCCTGGGCCAGA